ATGATCAAACAAAAAAAGTCAATATGGAAGTTGCTACCTTTATCTTCTTGAACAATATCTTAACTTTAGGTGATAAAAACGACTAGATAATTTGAAATGTAGTTCACTTTGAGGAAACAAAAATAGTTAAAGCTTAACATGGGACTTGATTCTGATGATCTTATAAAAGTTATGCTAGTAAATCATAGCCAGTCATTGCCAATATTGGTTCACTTAGACAGCTTTGTCATTTGTGATCTTAAAATGTAAAATGTGGTTTTGATTTTTGATATTACATCTCTCACATTCTTACAACTGGATGTAGTATTGTTGAAGGGAGTAACCACTCAGTTTTAAGGAAAAAAGTAAAAGTGTAGAGCTATGGTGGATGGACAGATGGGCTAGCAGGGGATTTAGGTCAAGGAATTATTACTTTACATAGGATGAAGCCACAAGGACTAACAGTGCTACTCTGATAAATGAATCTGGCCTGCTTGCGGCAACACAACTTGCAGTCCGAATCAGCAACTACCAACTGCTCATTCCTAAGGACAGCCAATAAAAGAATATAATCGAAACAGGGTAGGAATAATACAGGAGTTGCAGTTGCCAATCTTGTTTTGTTCATTTGATGCTTAGGATTGGCAGGTATAAGGATTAGCCCAGAGACGATGAAGAACTCAACTTTGGTTTTTCCATTCCTATGCTATGAGTTGTAGGACTAATAATAACATTGCTTATTATGGAGAGGCTGGTTTTAGGGCAGTGTTTCGAGCTTAGTTGTGCGGACTCTTCACTTTTGATGCCGCACCCGTCTCGGATTCTCCAAAAATACACTACTTTTGGTGAATCCGACACGCACCCGTTGAAATTTTTGAAGAGTCCAAGCAACATAGGTTTCGAGTGAGTATGTTAGTTGAAAGCCTTGTAAGGTGATGGATGACGAGTAGTGACCCATTTTGCACTAGAAACCAAAATGTCTATGTGCTACTAATACTAGTATGAATTGCATTTTGTGCTTGAATCATCTGGTGCAGTATCCTTTCGGCTTTCTCCTAGTTCTTCTTCAGAAATTTAATATGGAGAGTACCCTATTTTCTAGAAATGTAGGAACCAACAATCCTATATATGTAGAGTTATATTGTTAAAATTAAAGGCAACCATACTAAATCATTATCTGATGAAGCAGGAGGTAACTCTTTCTAATGATGATTAACTTCTATAATGAACAAGTTGTCTTAAATGCCCCTTCTAAGTGCAAGTAAAAGTGCAATTCACGAAAGTAAATAAGAACAACTGGTGCAGAGTTTTTTCATTTTTATTACTTTGGAATCACAAAGAAGTTCGGGAAGTACAAAGTACCAACTAAACCATTTCTGCTATAGTTGGAATTCTGTATAAGTCGAATTCTGGCAAGAAAGTAACTCACCTTTTTTTGCAGCCTTACGAAATCTCATACAATGTTCATATCTACAGAAATTGAACTTAACTTAGAAATCTAAAGAAAAACAATCTTGAAGTTAAGAGAATTAAGGATTCAACCAGCTGTATTTGTTAATAGAGTAGCTAGTGTTGCAATCATCACCGTGGACCCATTTTGAATCTTTTAATTTAGAAGTATCCATTTTTTTACATGGAAATCTTTCATTTTCAACAACCCTGAGCTATTTGTATGGAAATAGACCTTCTGCTCTCTTAATGTTCATCTCTTTTGCACATGCCAGATTTTAAATATCGACAGTAGTTTACAGCAGTTTTTTTGCCACCAGGATGTTAGGCCTGGAGATACCCATATGATTCTATATTTTCTCAATGTTACATTGAACTTCATTATCACGCCATGCAGTAGCACACAAGGAAAATGAATATAAAAAACTATTTGTTACATTTGCTTCTATGGGACACTACATTATCAGAAAGAAGAAAAAAAATCTGTGGCATTACAGTATGCATTAAATTTTCATCTATCAAGAGAAGGCACTTATGCTATATTCTTCAATATGGCTTGTGATTACTTTCAGGTGGTTTCGACTAGTACAGTAGTCTTACTCTCAGCCATGCTTGTTATGCTCCTCCACCCAGTCATTGTTTCACCTGCTTTTGCTAGTTTCCAAACTGCAGCTAAGACAGGGGGTCCAGCTGCAGCAGCAGTGGGGACTCAACTTGTACGTAATGAACTACTAACTAGTGCATGGGCTGGTTTCTTTGCTGGTTGCCTTCACACCCTATCAGGTCCTGACCATCTTGCTGCTTTGGCTCCTCTGTCGATAGGCCGTACACCGATGGAGAGTGCGGCAGTAGGAGCCCTCTGGGGCTGTGGCCATGATGCTGGACAGTTGATTTTTGGCCTATTGTTTCTTCTCTTAAAGGACCGACTCCACATTGAAGTTATTCGTACATGGGGGACTAGAGTAGTTGGATTCACTCTTCTTGTCATTGGAGCAATGGGAATCAAGGAAGCATCTGAAGTTGCTACACCATGTGTTGCCCTTGAAAATGGTGACTGTGATGTTAGTGTGTACGAAGGCATTGACACCCCTGTCATTGGGAAGAAGAAAAAGATAGGCTTTGCAACTTTTGCTACTGGAATTGTCCATGGGCTGCAACCGGATGCACTGATGATGATCTTGCCCGCACTTGCTTTGCCTTCTCGCATGGCTGGTGCTGCCTTCTTGGGTATGTTCTTGGTTGGTACTGTTATTGCAATGGGAAGCTATACCGTCTTTATAGGCTCGTGTAGTCAGGCACTGAAGGATAGAGTTCCTAGAATAACAGAGAAGCTCACTTGGGCTTCTTCCCTGATAGCAATTGGCTTAGGAATTGCTATTATCGTGAGTCAATTTTTTGGTTTTAGCCTATATTAGGTCTGATCCGGCGATAAAAATAGTTTACGTTCAGTGTTAGGGGATGTCATTTTGATGAGAGGATATATCTTTTGATTGAAGAGAAAGCTTTTAAGGGGTGGACCGTAACATTTGATGTTAATAGTAAGTATTATAACAATTTGAAAAGATTATATCTGCCTCTTGTTTGAGTAAAGATATGAGTTTTGTTGATTCACTTGAAAATTTGTGGCTCGTTCGAGTATGGAAAGGTTTTTTCAAGTCTCAACCAAAGGCTTTTTCTTAGTATCTTGTATTGACAATCATTTTACTCTCTTTTTTATTAGAGGGTATTTTAGGTTCTAATCTTAGGGCACAGGTAGATCTTTTATATCAGGTCCCTTTTTAAGAGCAAAACCATCCATTGCATGCTCTCAAAATCCCTATAACGAGAGAACAAGAATTGAGGATGAAATTTCCGTCTTCAGTCGATTCCCTCAGCAATAATTTTTTTCTAAGATAACACTTACTTTGGGTAAATTTTGAAGTTTCAAAAAATCATTAATAAAATAAAAAAAAAGACATGATAATTATCAAATCAACATAAATAAAATACTACTAATATAGAACGAAGGAAGGAAGTAGTAGAGGGAGAGGTAGAGTAAGAGCGTTACGTTATGGGTCCACACCACATAATATGGACAATTTGAGTAGGAAAGTCCACTCTTTATCCGTACACTGTACAACACGTAATGCACACAAAACTGACCCCAACTACTACTCTATTAACGTAACCTTCAATTTAATACTGTGCTGACAAATTTATTTTGACTGCCCATATCTTTTCTCTCAATAAATATACGGAGTATTATTCTGGACAAGAATAGTTACAACACTCTAAAACCCAATCACTCATTTTTCTAACTTGTTACTGTTATATTTTTTCATTTTTATAATTTTATTTGAATTGAAACTTCACAGTGTATGTATGGGTAAAGTTGCATAAAGGGCTAGCAAGGTAGGCCTTGAAAATTTATTTTCCTCTCATATTATTTCTCTACTTTCTTTTTATACACTAAGGAAATTGTAAATAAGTAGAAAAAAAATTACTAATTGCCTTGTAACTCTTCTTAATACACTCTATTTTAATTATGCAAAATAAATGTTTTTAATAATATGAGACGGAGGGACCACAAATTTAATTTGTATAGAACCTTTTCTCAATTAATAAATGCTAACATAATATACATTCTCACTAGTCACTACGATAAATAATTTAACTAATGAAATAATTTATATTTTGTGTAAATGAAATGCAACATGATAAAACTAAACCAACAATCATTTAATGAGATTTTCGAGTTTTCAAAACAAACGATATCACTTCTTTTTTTCCGCTCTTTTTTCATATTGTCCTCCATTTCTTCACACCATTGCTTTAGTAGCATTAAAGGGTTTTATTTAATAGGTGATTAGAATTATGCATGTATTAGTAATATAAATATTAATAAAATAGGAATTAATCATTAATCATATTTATTAATAATGTAAAAATTAATAAAGCATATCTGTAGTTATTTTATATATAATAATATCTAGATTTTCTCATAATTTATACATATATTAGTTATACGCTAAAAAACATATCATGAACCGAATGATTTATTTATCATGATATGTATGCAGAATGAGATAAGATCAACCAAATACAGTATAACTTACGTTAGACTCTATATCTTAAAACCAAATAACATATAAAAAAAAATACGCAAGTCCCACACATGATTAACTCTTTTTTAATAGGCAAGCAAATCATCCCTAACTAATATACTCCTACTACTTATTATATTACTAGATCTCAAAATAATAATAATTACAATTCTAACACTATTATTTTTAAGAATATGATAAGCTTAATCTATATATCTTAATTTATGAGATATCATTTAACTTAAACATAAACACTCTGTCAACTATTTGTATAAATAAAATAATTTTATTAAGATTTTCGAGGCCGCTAAAACAGGAAGGGACCCATACTGAAATTCTGACAACATATTGCTATTAACTTTTTTTTTTCTGTCACGGTTTTAACTTATACTAAAAAAAAACTACTGCTATTATGAGTGAGATATGAATAATTAAATCACTGCAATATCCAAAGAATTAAAATCCCACCAAAAAAGGTAAAAAGTAAAGTCTTCAAAAAAGATGCTCATTGTTTCACTGTACACTAAACACTACAGTAGTAAACTATTCATCATTTCATCAGTCAGCAGGGGATTTCATCAAAAAAGTACACAAAAAACAAACCCCTAAAAAAGATCAGTAAATCCCCCTGACAAAAGAGTTAAAAAAAAAAAACATAAAGAAATTAATGAATTTAACTACCCATTTACCGAAGTTTTTTCTTCTTTTTTTTCTGTAATTTTTTTTTTGGGGTCAAAACAAGGCTTCAATGGCAGCTTTCTTAGGTATTCCACAGACAGGGCATTGATGGAGAAGAGAATCACAAGTTTTGCATGAAGAAAGATGTCTACAGGGCAAGAAAATCATGCACGAAGATCGAGAATTGCAGCTTTTGCAAATCATCTTTTTTGTTTCTAGTTCATCTTCATCATGAAGATCGCAGCAAGATTCTGCATCTTCTCCATTGGTGGACAAACAATACCCACTTTCTCTTAGTTGTTCGATTGTGTTGTTTAATGACATGACAATAGCTTCGTTTTCATTCGAAATTCTCTGCCATGCTTGATTCTCCATCTCCATTTTTTTTAAGTATTCTTCTAGCTCCTTTGTCCTGTTCCCTGCTTTTGCGATTTCTTCATCCTTCTGTTTCAGTAAAAACTCAAGTTTCGATTCGTATTTTCTCCAAATCAATGCTAGTTGTTGCTTCTTTTGCTCGTTTAAAACCCATCTCAATTTTTCATTCTGTTTTCACCAAAATCAATCAATAAATCGAACATGAACTCAACAAAAATTTTTTGATGAAAACCCAAAAATCCCATACCTGTAAGTTGATAAAGTGATCGATTTCAATCCTCTGTTTCTCCATCTGGGTAGCTAGAAACTGTGAAAAAGGAATTGACTCGGTAATGTTGTTATTCATCAAATTCTGATTCATGATTATTTTCTGGTTAAAAATCTGTTGCTGCTGTAAATTCTGTTGAAAGGGTTGTTGGTGTTGCTGAGTAGCAAAAGAAAACTGATTAAATCCACAAGCATTCTCCATTGAACCACCTAAAAGATTATCCGTATACAATTGCGCTTGAATAGCCATATGAACAAAGAAGAGAAGAGAAGATGGGTATTAATAAATAGGGTGTAATGTTTATAATTGAATTTGTGTGTTTTATTGAAAGAAACAGAAAACCTGAAAAAGGGGCAGAGAAGGGATTCTCTTTCTTTGTGCATTTAAAGAGAGTACGTACACATGCAGATTTTGTGACTTGACTATCGGGTCACACATCATAAAGGACTCCTCTCTACAATTACCACTAATTAATTCCTAATTGTGGGGTTATCAATTCAATTAACACAGAAAGGGTCACCTTTTTTTTTCCGATTACAGGGAATCAAAGATTTGTCTCTTTTCCACTCTTTTTTTTCTTTTTATAAAAATTATTTATTAACAAAACTTAAATTTTTCACCGACAATTTTCTTTTATATATTTTTGGTGTAATTTTGTTCTAGTTGTTTGATAGTAATTGAGTTTTTTGAAAAATAAAATGGAGAATAATATTTCTGGTCTCTTAATTATATTGCTTAATTTTAATTTTGTTTTTTGTGGTATCTAATTAAATCGTATTTAACTTTTAGTTACTTGAAATGTGTACTTTTTATTCAAGCCAATTTCATGTATTAGAAGGCCAAAATTTTGAACATAATTTAAATGAGTAATTAAATGGCGGAATAGTTAATGATTATGAAATTTAAAAATATTCATAAGCAAATGGATTAAAAGTACATATTTCAAATGACGGGAAGTTAAATGTGTTTAGATAAATATCGCATATTAAAACTGAAATTCAATAATAACGGAAGGACCCAAATATTTGTACAATTAATACTACGTATATGAGTTACATCTGAATTTTTCAATTATTATATTTCGTGCTAATCTAATCAAAGCTGGTTAAGACAATTTGTGATTTGTGTTAATTGATATTAATACTAATCCAAATCAAATTGATAATTAACTGGAATAGATGAATTTTAAAAGTAATAATCTTATCAAGAAGTTACTTTATTTTCACACCTTTTTTTCTGGTAAATTTATTACTGATTTGTTAGGAAGTTAATACGTAGAAATCTTCAAGGAAGTGATAAAATCCAAATTTAAGGAATTCACACCAACGTATTGGAGTGGAATTCAAAAGAATGTCCTTTCTTCTAACTTAATTAATAAGTTAATTATGCACTTTTCCTTAAATATTTTTTCTAATCTTATATTGAAAAAAAATCATCACTGAAATTAAATATTTGAAATAAATTCAAATAAAATAAATAGAATTCATATAGTTAATCTCAATTGAATTAAAACTAACGCGTGTTGTAATTGTTGTGATTTGCATTAAATATTTCATGCATATAAGTCATAATGGTGATTCATGCCTCCTTATAGTCCACAATGTTTAATTAAGTAAATTAATATTTAGATTCAGAAATCATGTGCTTAATAATGCTGATTAGCCATTCAGACTATAAGTTAATTTTGGACCTTCCATATTACCCCCAAAAAGAAAAATGGACCTTACAAAAATATCTCTAGTGTTATTTTCAGATTTATAGTGTAAAAATGAAATAAAAAATTTGTAAGAAAACATAAATTTGTAAATAATTACAAAATTAAATTCACATGTGTAATTACTTAGTTGGCACTTAAAGGTTCCTTTGATAAATGATTAGAGTTGTGCACATATTAATAATACATGGAATAGTTATAAAGGAATTTTAGTATTATTTATGTAAAAATTAATCATACAATGTATATATTAGTTATTCTGTGTTTTATTATATATAAAATAATATATAAATTTTAACATAACTTATAGACATATTAACTATTAATTTTCTTGATTGTAAATTATATATTATATTAATTTTATGTATGAATAATTCGCCTCTTGATTAACTATCAATCGTGGTACTTACTTCCAAGTATATCATGGCCTAGTGGGCATGGTCCCATATGGGCTGTTAACCAAGGCTACTGCGCATACCTACATCATTAATATTTGATATATCAATTAATTAAAATTTGAGTCGCGTAAGGATTGTTTAAATATAAGATGATTTTTAATATGATTTTTTTAATATTAATATTTCTGATCCGAAACTGTTTATGAGTGAGGGAAGAATTTTATTAATTTCATCACCATCTTTGTTAATACAATATTGTTGTTGTTACTAGTTATAGGAAAGGTTCAATTTTTATTTATTTTTTATGTGTCAAATGTGATGACTTTTAGTTGGAAGTTGAAATTTTGCTTTCCCATAATTTGGTAGCAAGTACTGGAATTAGACATAATTGATGATGAAACCATTTTTTTGTTATATGTCGCTATTATTTTGTTTTTTGGCACAACATTTCTGACTAAAGTGTCAATATGTGTTATCAAGTAAATCAACTTCACTCTAAATATATAAAGTTTCGAAATTTGTTATCTAAATTAACTTCATTCTAATATTAAACTACGTAACAATTACGATATACATTTTTATCCTTTAGTCAAATGTTAAACATTTGAAATTCTAGATAGTAAAAAGAATACACCATAGGCCATTTTTCTCTGAAGGATGAATTCATTAAAATGCATACTTATCTAACTTAAAAAATAATTTCTAAGATGTAAAGTTATATTTTTCTTTTTAATAAATAATTTTATTTTTCTGTGATCTTAAATTAAAAAGATGTGTGTATATATATATATATATATATCGTGTGAAAGTTAAATGTAAATATTGACAAAAAAGAAAAAAAATATTCTTTAATGTTTCAAAACGAACTAAAAAAAGACAAATAAATTAAAAGGTGTAGTATAATTATTTTGTTAAAGAAGGCTTATAATAATTTTATTATTACTAAAAAAAATTGCGTCTTTTAAATTTGGGGGCCTAAGGGAGATGCTTCATTTTTATAGGCAATAAGTCACCTCTGTCTATTATATAGTTAAGTTAACTACATAAAATATATCATCTTCTTTAATACAAATCAACCTCAAATAGAAAATGTCTAGATTTTACGAATTGTTTTTTTAGGTAAATATGTATAATAAATGAAGACATTATATTTTATTTGAAGAATTTAACTACCTAATAAACAAATGAGAATACATATTAAAAAATTCATAATTTGAATAGAAAGTATTTATTTAGAATACTTTATTAAAAATTTAGGTGTTTAATAAAAACAAAACTCAATTGAAGTGTCTAAATAAAGTATTGAATAAGTTTAGGGATTCACCATGTATAAGAAAACCTTAAAGATAAAGGATGAGATATATAGTTAGAGAGACATCAAGAACACATGAATGAAGCAATGAGGAATAGATGTGTCCTTTTATGTTTAAAAAAAATCATCAATTTCTTGCTTGTTACCCTCCTTGAATTAAATGTGTCAATGCATATTCATATGATTAACCTATATCCTTTCGTTTTCAAATTGTTACCATCTCCTAAGAGTCACTTTTGGAAACTAGCATTATAGATCATATTGGATAATCACGCATTGTGTATTATTTCTTTTAATTGGCTTTATTTTTGGAATCCCAGGATAACCCGCAGCCGCCACAACCTCTGCCCTTCGGATGAGCACTTTGTGCGCACTGGGTAAATCTCCCACTGTGTAATAGCCTGCAAACCACACAGAGAATGTAAACTACACTAAACAAGCCCTATGCGACAGGCTCGACTCAGATCCCGGGTCATCCGTGTTTCTTTTAATTGTTACTTTGTATAAACGCATAAGGAATTAAAGATCTTGATATAATTATAAGTATATCAATTTCTTATCAATATCAAGTAGGGTATTAAATATGTGAATTGAACTTAATTTGATCGGAGTTAATTTATGAATATATTATCTACCTGATAAAAAATTGTTTGGACCAGAAAAACACGTCATAATCCAAAAGTACATATTTTTTTTCTTCATTTTATTGTATTATATATTTTCCAGTTGTATATATAGTCGAGTTATAAATAAATAAATCAATAACTCATCCAATTTAAACGAATGAGATGATTCATACTTTCCGCAAACTAATTGTATCACCCCTAAAATACCAAGTATGAGAGAGAAAAAAAACTTTATACCAAAGATGAATTGTAGTAGGCTAGTAGATGCAAGAAACTTGTTACCTAGTAGGAATGATAATCAATAAGTTCTTTTTTTATCTGTTTTAATATATATATATATATATAAATATATTTATTTTTAGTCAGTCTTGACAAAAAAAAATGCAATGATATATTTTTAGATTTAGTACGAGTAAGATTTTTTTTAAAGTATCTATTTTACGTTAATAAAATGATTTATCATTTTTTTTATAGAAATATCTAACACTAATTTAAGATCATTAGTCTTAAAGAGTCTTTAGTTATTTTTTAAACTTTATTTCAAGATATAATATATCACGTAAATAGGGACCCAAGAAGGAGTATTATTTCTTACTTCCTCCGTTTCACAAAGAATGTCTTGGTTTGACTTGGCACAAAGTTTAAGTAAATAAAGAAGACTTTTGAATCTTGTGGTCCTAAATTAAAGTTATGTCAAATGTACAAAATTGCCTTTAATCTTGTGGTCTTAAACATGCCACCTGGAAAACAAAAAGTAAAATGTTACCAAAAAAGTAAAAAGGTCATTCTTTTTTAAACTGACTAAAAAAAAAGAAGGTCATTCTTTGTGAAACGGAGGGAGTAATAGATTATGTGTTAATCCCCAGGCTAATCTATTAGAAGTACATTTTCCTACCTAATGGTATTAGCTAGTAGCCCTCTTTACGAATCTGAGCTATGTTAATTCACTTATTCCAAATTCTTAAAAGTCTAACCCCTATTAGCCTATGGGAAGTATTATTATCTCGTATTAATAATCGGATACGTAACCAAAAGGAAAATAATATGGTCGCATTATTTTACGTAATTTTTTTTAAAATTCTATAGTGTTAACAATTGATTATATTATATTTCTATTTTTTTTTCTCAAATTACAAAAATTTCTTAAATTTATAGGATCTCGAATACATCACGTAACACGCGGATACATAACTCATGGATTGTGAATGATACATTACTTAATAAGGGGGATATATCTGAGAGAAAATAAGGATATGTATTCGAAAGGGGATAGGAATGTATTCGAGAGGGATAAAGATGTATCCGAAAGGGAATAAAGATGTATCCGAGAGGGGATACAGTG